TTGGCTATGTGTATTTTCACCAAAAAAAAAAGTCCTCCAAGGTCAAGAAGGGAGAGTGTTGACATGTTGTGGGGTTGTTAACCAATGTCATAAAACAATATGTATACTGACTGTTTAATGGGAAACTGTTTGTTCTGTAAACCTTCATCTAAAACACAATTTTAAAAAATTACAATTTGAGAATATGCAAGAAATATGTCAGCATGAACCTGGCTTATTACAATAGATGCAATCCTAAAATTCTGTATATACGTTACATGTTTGTTAAACAGTTTATTTTTAATTACTTGGGGAATTAGTTTAAAATTTACATGATTTTTTCCTTTGCTGAAGTATTGAACTATCCACTGATTTTACTTTGTTTTGTATTATTAATACTTATATTTTTCTGTGTTGGCTTTATGATTGTTTGTGACTGTGTTGAGTCTTAGTCTTAATAGCCACACATGCCCATGGTACATAGTGTTAGGGTCAGTGGTTCTGAGTGAGGCTGCAGAGTACTCACTCAAAATTATTTTCACTGAGTTTAAATATAATTGACTAGTCTACCATCTCCTGATAATCAGGACTATTTCTTTATCATGGATGCTTCTTTTCTAAAATGGTGACCACTTCTCTAATTACTGCAAAACTATCTCTCCTAAACCCCTAACCCTATGCCCAAAGTCAGCATTTTTGCTATTTTCAGGGTTCCTTACTCAAATATTTATAATATGCATTGTGGTTATCCTGTTAGGTACAACCCTAATTTATCCCATCATAAATACATGGTTGTGTTTTGTGTGTGCGTGATAATATATGACATAAAATTTACCATTTTAACCATTTTTATGTGCACAGTTCAGTGGCAATGAATACAAGTTTTGAGTGTTTGCCAGGCATTTCTAACCCAGCAGAACTGGGATTTCCTTAGCACTGTGTGACCTAAGTCAGGGCAGCTGTGCATAGGCGCATGCTCTATTGGACATGAATGATGGATGCTCTTTACTCATTTAGTCATCCTGAAATCCAGAGGACATGTTGGTTTAGCAAGTGCAGCCTCCTTTATCTTTTCTAACTTAATCTTCAGGACCTAGTCCAAATGTTAAATCTTTTCTAAAGTCTTCTGCTTCTCTGATAAGTAGGTCGTACTTACCTTTCTGCACTCACAAAACACTAGTACCATTACAGAACTCATCCTAGGCAGTTAAATGATGTCAAGGTGTTTAAATACCCATCTTTCCAAATAACTTGAGAGCTTGTTGAGCAGAGAATTTATCAAGCGTCTATTATGTGCCAATCACTGTAGAACATAGATATACTTATCCCTTTGTTAGAGATGAGGATATTGAGACTTAAATTTACAGTTAGTAGATGAAAGAATCAGGATGTGAAGCCGGCTCCACTGTTGCCCACCTAGTGTTTGGTATAAATTCTGTGAAGACTAAGGATGAATAACTAATCAGAGTTCACCTGATGCAGCGTAATGACTCCAAATTAACAGAACTCACTTTGTCAGCTGTTCCTCGCTCCTCAAAGCTCCCAGCTTCATCTTCAAGGAGCAGCTTTCTCAGAAACATGCAACTTTCCTCATTGTTTTCCATTCATATGTTCATTCATTTATTCTTTTAATACGTAATTATGAGGTAATGATGTGCCTGGTCGTGCTCTAGTTGCATAGCATAAAATACACAAAATCTATCCTAGACAATATCTCCCTGTCATCATGGAGCTCGTTTCTTCACCCACGGGGACAGAGAATCAGAATAAATAAATAAGTAAATCATGGGTGACTTATTTAATATGTTACAAAGCAATAAGTGCTAAGGGAAAATAAAAAGTAGAGTAGGATAAGGGAATGAGGTATAGTGATCCAAACCAAAAACTAAACCTGTTGCCATCGAGTTGATTGTGACTCATAGTGACCCTGCAGGACAGAATAGAACTGCCTCATAAGGTTTCCAAAGCTATAAATCTTTACGGAAGCAGACTGCCACATCCTTCTCCCTCTGAGACACTGGTGGGTTCCAACCCCTGACCTTTTGGTTAACAGCTGAGTGTTAACCACTGCACCACCAGAGCTCCTCTTAGGGGTCAGGGCACAGTATTTAATAAAGAAATGAGAATTGAGATTTGGACAAAGGCCTGAAGGAAGAGTATCCCAGGGAGTGGGAACCACTAGAGCAAAGGCCCTAAGCCAGGGGCTTGTCTGGCACTGTCCAGAAATATCAAGGTGGCAAGTGTTACTAGAGTGGATTGAGGGAGGTGAAGATTAATGAGGGGAAGAAATGAGAGAGTAGCCATGAGGAAGGATATGCATGGGGTGCTAGTCATACAGGGCCTTACCTACTCTAGAATCTATAATGGAGACATTGTGCCCTTGCTTTAACAGAGTACGTGCAGGGAACACCCAGGGCCTCCAGACTGATAATTTGGATTAGGTCTTATTGCCCAGTGGTCATAGCCCACATTTGTCTTCAGAGAGTGATCCTCCAAACATAATCAGCATTGTCTCAGTTTAGAACTGTGCTTCAGCCGGGTTCATTCACACTCACTTGTATGAACCCTCTGCCTGGATCATTCTTTCTACACAGTGTTTCCAGTCAATCCATTCTTTGGTTTACATTTATGTTGGCTACAGTAGATAGAAATTGGTTATACAATGTGTAGACTGTACTCAGGAGATGCTTTTTGAATGACTGAATGAATTGGGACAGATTTAATTTTATAACACAGACCTTCAACCTGTAAATGAACTTGTATTCTAGATGTAGACATAAACTACACCTGAATTGAATATCTGGCACATGGTTGAACGTTAATTAAATGTTGATTGTTTTCAAATGTATCCATGTTCCATCAAGGTTACAGGAATTGGACATTTTAGAGTTCTGTACCTTCAGAGACATTCTATGGCTCTGAGAGGGACATTTATTGAAAATGCCTTGCTTCACCTTGAGCAGAGTACTAGTTAAAAAGAGGTACATAAACTTGATCTCAGAAAAAAAAAAAATGTTATTCTCTTTTTAGCTGATGTATTTATGTCTACAGTATCCATAATGATTTCATTGTCTTGGTACAATCTTCAGCTTCAAATGTCAACTACATAGTTATTCTTTTTGTTGGACTTAACGTTGTTTATGGTGGTAATTCGTTTTCTTGGCTCTTCTGTAACTCAGACCGTCTGTGGCATATATTGCAGGCAGGGTGCATGTATATCAGAGCCCCTGGAATTTTTTTTAACCTTTTCTTTCCATGATTTGGAATGACCTCTGTACTATTATAAATGCAGTAGATTGATCCTAGCATGTGGCTGTGAGGCTTAAAAAAAAAATTTAAGCCCCCTATATTCATATTTATATAAAATAAAAATTTTGGAAAACGTGGGCTGATGTGTATTTTAAATTTCATAGAGAAAGCTAACCTGGGGACATTTTATTTACTCCTTGGTCATCTTTTTCTTGATAAATAAATTCTTTATCTTAGGCAAATAAGTACACTCACAGTGCTTTGGGGTGGTAAAATATCAATAAAAAATAATTACTCATTTTTAGTAAGAAATTAGACAACACTTTTTTAAATTTCCCCGTCAATTTAAATTTATTTTTCTTTTATTTTTATTATTATAGTTAATTCAACAAAAAAATCATTGCATTTAAAATATAATTCCAGAAGTGTTACTTTATAATTTACTATGCCATGATTTTTTCATTAACTAATCATTTATGCTATCTTAAGAACACATAGCCCTACCCAATGTTTATTCAGTAAAAGTATACTGAAATGGGATAAGTATTTTTAAAGTGTTTTTCATTATTGTTATATAAATTGCCAAAGATTTTTATGATTGCATTATAATTTGACTCAGTTTATGATATTAAATTTTTTTAAGCCAAGGAAGATACAGAAAATTTGTCTTTAGGAACAAAGGCCTTTGATTAATATCTAACTTTCTAAGTAATTTGCATGTTAATTATCATTATGACTTCAAAATGCAATGAAAATATTTGCTGCAAGGATTGTACTGAATGTGTATTCAATTATATTCTCAAAAGGACTTCTATCCTTTGATCTGTAAGGATTTTTTCAGTGATTCCTTTAAAATGACCTCATATTGATTTTTTTAACTAAGTATAGTCTTGTTATCATTCCATAGGTTAGTATAAATAAAAATTTTATAAGCCATAGCAAAATGCATCTCTCAATATAGAAAAGTTCCATATTTAAAATGGTTTGATATGTTGTGGTTTGTTATAAAAATAATGAAGTCTAAGTATATAATCCATTTCTTTAACCTGCGTAGAGTGAGGATTTATCGATTGATTGACTGATTTTTTGTGGGCGTAGCCTCAGTATCAGTTAATTACAGTAAGTGCTAGAAGTGTGGAAATATGAGAAGGTGGCCAGAGCAGAAAACACAAAGGGCAGGCATCTGACTTCATTTCCTTATCTTCTCTCTTAAATTATTACATAAATATCCAGTGTATCTTCCACATGACTCTTGTCTCAGAATTTGTGGGATTTTCTAACAGCTCTACTTTTCATCCTAAAAGTTCAAGTATTTAGGTCTCTACCCAAATCATTGAAATACTTCTGTTGCCTATGTTAGAGTAACAGCAACAAAGATGAGCCCACGGACTCAACATGAGCAGGACTAGAGTTTTTCCTGACTTACCTAGGATTCTTCCACATCCTTTTCCCTGACCCTATTCTAGCTAGTCCCCTATTATGAGCTGATTAGCTAGGGAGCAACAGTTAGGTATACTGTCATAAAATAGAAGAAAACTAATGGTCTACATGGGATTACCTTCAAAATCTTTGCCTACTTAGCATTAATCAACAAGTCTTCAAATATTTAAAGATCAAAATCAATTGAAACAGAGTCTTTGCTGTAATTTATTACTATCATAATAATTCCCAGGATTAGTTAAAATGTATACATTGAAATGTGGCTAATTGTGTTTAAAATAAAAACAATAATAATAATGAAAGCCTTTTCGTTCTCTGTTGCTTTTCCATAGGTTTAGGTTTCAGTATTGCAGGAGGTGTGGGGAACCAACATATTCCTGGAGACAACAGCATTTACGTAACTAAAATTATAGATGGAGGAGCTGCACAGAAAGACGGGAGGTTGCAAGTAGGCGATAGACTATTAATGGTGAGTGTGACTCAAACAGAACTGTGTGTGTATTTACAAAGTCCTTGCTTCCCAGTGTGTGAACACGGACTGAAACAGAAAAGAAGGGAGAGCAGGTTATGAGGTAAGACAACACAAAAGTACACATATGATTGATCGGATTTTCTAATATTTTAAAAACAAATCTAAACTTTTACCGGTTTTCACAGATACACACAGCCTAGAGTTTACATGTTATTCTTCCAGTGTAATCCATTTCCTGTTAGAGCAACTGCTGTTTCCAGACTGCTAGAGAGGTGGACTTTGAATAACAAAAGGAACAATGCTAGGCAGTTAATTAATATGTACATTCATGTATCTCACCATGTCCTTTGTTCAACCAGTATAAACACAATCCCTGACTTCCCTGAATTTATCATCTGAATTCTGTCACATGTGTAAGTGGATCCCTTCCTCCTCTCCACCCAGACAGCATTACAGCTGTTTTTATTCACCAGCTGCACACTTGCTTCTGGATATTGTGGGCAGTGATTGATTCTGATACCTGACCACCCTTTCAGAATCATGGACTTATATGATAAACTAAAGCAAAATTAAAGCCGTTATAAGCAGTAAAGTATTTGAGGTTACGCTAATAAAACCCTAATCTCTGTTTATTGTTGTATACCAAACCTACAGGAAATTAATCAAATATTGAAAACTGATAGACAATAGCTCTCAAGTTAGATAAATATTTCTAGTCTAATGGTTACCCTTTTAAGACAGGGCTTCTAACCAATGTCTATAATAAGCCAGTATCTCTAACACTTCTGTGAGAAGCATTTGGGAAGGATCATCATATAGTCTCAACAGAAGAAGAATTTCTATGATACAGGAAAGTTTTTGGCAGTTGAACCCTAAAGCTTTGCTTTCATTGTACTCACCTCCCTGAGCTCTAGAGGTGCTGTGTTTAGCCCTAGTGGTTTAATTTCATAGTTGTCAATTCCCTTTATATTGAAATATGTGGACCAGACCTTTGTCTAATCTTGACAGCTATCGTTTGTTTGGCACTCACTATATGTTCCATATTGGAACCCTGGTGGTGCAACAGTTAAGAGCTCGGCTGCTAACCAAAAAGTCGGCAGTTTGAATCCACCAGCCACTGCTTGGAAATCCTACAGGACAGAACTCTGTCTTACAGGGTTGCTGAGTTGGAATCGACTCGATGACAATGAGTTTGGATTTTTTTTTTGGTTTTTATATGTTCCATATACTTTTTAAAGTACTTTAAAAAATGTGTTAATACACACATTTCTCAAAGTAGCCCATTTATGTAAGCCAAAGGAAACCGAGGTATAGAGAGATTTAGTAACTTGTCCACGACCACATAGTTAATAATGCACAAAAATGGATTTCAAATTGAGGCAGTCTGGCTTGCGTCCAAGCTTGTAACCATCAAGTAATACTGCATCCCATATGTGGTGTTTGCATTTGTTCCCGTGAATTTGTCAGTCAGTTATTTCCTTCATTTATCCTTTGGTCATTTGTTGTTATTATTTTTTTATTTAATAAGTATATGTTGAGTATCTACCATATTACAGACACTAATTAGGAAGGAACTCTGTCAGGAGAAAACACCGTTTCAAACATATGGCAGTAATGACTTTAGTCAAAGTTGCAACTAAGAATTGTGGCTTCTTTGCCACCTGAAGTCACTGCCATTTTCATTCTTGAGACATTCTGAAACTGTTTTTTTGTTTGCTTGTTTGTTTGCCTTTTATGTAAAAGTTGGCTCTTATGACATTGTATCTCCTGAACTAGAAAAGAGTTAATTGAGGTATAAGACCTGGACAACTTCTCTGTAGAATATAAACTTTATTGCTTGAAATGTTGATTTGGGAATGAAATAAACTGTGATAGCCATCTTCTACGCAATACTAAAGTTAAAAATGAAGAGGACAGTTTCAGCCTCAAGCATGAGAGATAGCTTTGGTAGTTACTGATTCGGCCTTTTGACTGATTGCTCTGTAAGAGTTTTGTGGTAGACAACACTTCTGTTATTTCTTCAACTGCTACTATTGTAATATCATGCCAGATGTTGTGTGATGATTTTTTCAAGCTCTGTTTAAATTTATTTTCAAGTTCTTAAAAACCTCAAATCTAAGTAATTTTGTGAAAGGTTTTCTCAGGCACCATGCTATTTTTTCAATACCATTTTCTTGATATTCATTGTAGATGTAATGATTTCAAAAATAGCTGTGACATAATCCTTAACTGTTTTGAGTTTTAAAGCATAGTTTAAAAAGAAAAAGAACCTTCTACAGTAATAGGTCTCTCCACTCTTATGTAAGGAAAACATAATTCGAACTTTCAAGGCAACTGCCAAGCTGAATCTGGAAATGAAAGAAAGTGATTCATTTTATAATATTATGAAAGAAAAATGTCTCTGAGAGAGAGAATACAGAAAAAAAAAATCACCAGAGCCACCCAAAAAGACCAATTATCTTGTTCAACCTAAAAATATTTATTAATGCTCTCCGTCTGTCACTTCTCTCCACCTCCTCTTCCCTTTATTACCCTATATAGTCTCTTCATCTTCTTCCTTTTTAACTCTCCTCCCTAAAAGGAAGTACAGATGATTTAGATTCTGTGATTTACCAGCTGTATCACACTCTGCATATTTTTCTTTAAATATGCTCTTCTTCTTTCTAAAGCAGTTTGCACCACTTCCTTCTTTCACTTCTTAGGAAAAATTCTCCCATATATTATTCACTCAGAGTTCTGGGAATTAGAAACCCACTGCTGTTGAGTTGATTCCGATTCATAGTGACCCTGTAGGACAGAGTAGAATTGGCCCATAGGAATTCCAAGGATTTAAATCTTTAAGGAAACAGACTGCCACGTCTTTCTCTGGCAGAGTGGCTAGTGAGTTTGAACCGCCAACCTTTCAGTTAGCAGCCTAGTGCTTAACCATGGCACTACCAGGGCTCCTTCATTCTGTAAGTTGACAGGTCTAAAATGAGACTCCATTAGTTTCCTTAGACTTTTGTGGCTGGCTCACCACAATTTAGGAAATCACTAAGCATCTGCCTTGCAGCATTGCGGCTACTATAGGAACTCAGTCAGCTTTTCTGGAGTCTTAGTATTAATCTCAGTTTCTCAAGTGAAATAGCTATAATGGTGGACACCACCTGAATCATACCATATATATTGGGAAATTTTATTTTCCTGAGTAATTCCTACTCCAATTCTCATTTTGTGTATTAGAATACTGTAGAAAAGCAGCCATGAAAAGTGGGCCCTCACCTATGTTACCCACTGCCGTCAAGTCGATTCTGACTCATGGCGACCCTATACGACCGAGTAGAACTACCTCCTAGGATTTCCAAGGCTGTAAATCTTTACAGAAGCAGGCTGCCACATCTTTCTCCTGTGGAGCGACTGGTGGGTTTGAAGCACTGATCTTCTGGTTAGCAGCTGAGCTCTTTAACCTCTATGCCACCAGGACTCCTTCATCTACGTTAGAACCCCTCTAAAGATGGAGATCTTAATACCTCTCCTCAAGGCTATCCATTAGATAACCATTATTAGATATTTTTCCTTAAAATTATGTTGACTGTCTTTCTCTGTAAATTTCAACCTTTATTCACAGATCTGTCCCCTGGAATCAGAAAGGTGACACCAATTCCTCTTCCATATCTGTTTGAATAGTTACATCTTGCCACTTCTCAGTCTTTTAAGATGTTTCACCCAATTTTCTTTAACTCTTTTAATAAATTTAATCCTACATTCATTTATTCTAATGTAAATAATTTGCCTTTGTAACAAAACTTCTTTAGATTCCTTATACTCTTATTCACCACTTAAACATAAAAAAAAAAACTAAGCACCATTGTAGCATCTGACCTTTAGAATTATCCTGCCTGTCAACTTTGCAGTAAGGCTTTTAGCATTTCAAATAAGATGACTATAGTGTCAGACCTTTCTGATGTGTCATGGGTCATCCAGATACATGGCATAGAGTCTCTTCATTAAAATCATTTTCTGAATTCCCATGCTACCTGGCACATACTACCTTTCTCTACAATTCATTTTTTTAATTTTGTGGAATGGCAGTGACATCTGATTTGTGAATTGTACCAGCTGCTTAGTGTTGCAGTCTAAGACTAAATAGATTTATCTCTTGGCCTTGACCTTGGACAAGCATTGGACAAGATGGTCAGAGGTCAATGGCATTGATGATTTTCAAATTCTTACGTGTATTTTCACAAATTAGTTTTTATTAAGCCCTATCATGGTAATACATAGTCACGAATATTAGATATTTTCTTCTTTGCCTTTTTCTGCACAGTACTAGAAACTTTGAATCCAGGATCATCTGACTTATAGGGATAACATTAGCCATTCATTGTCAAAGCCCTTGACACATTGTGATTTATGATTTAAAAGCTTAGTCTCCTTTTCCCATAGCCTTTGCTTGACATTTGAGAAAATAATTGTCGATTAGAACTGTTATACCTTTTACAGAGAATGAACTTATTCTCTTTCTGTGTGTGTGTGTGTGTGTTTGTGTGTGTTTCTGTGTTTCTCCCTAAGGGGAAGTAGTACATAAGGGGAAAAGCAGTAGAAGCATTGAAGTGTGTGTGTGTGTGTGTGTGTGTGTGTGTATTTATATGTCTTCCCCCTAAGGGGAAATATTAGATAAAGGGAAAACTAGCAGAGGCATTAAAGTAAATTGGAAAGACACTGGACTCAAAGAGAACTAAAAACCAAAACCAAAGAGTCAATTCTGACTCATAGCGACCCTATAGGAAAGGGTAGAACTGCCCCCATAGGGTTTCCAAGACTGTAAATCTTTTCGGAAGCAGACTGCCACATCTTTCTCCCACAGAGCAGCTGGTGGATCAAACTGTTGACCTTTCAGTTAGCAGCCAAGTGCTTAACCTCTGTGCCACCAGGACTCCTGACTCAAAAAGAGAAGAGCTGAATTCTAGACTTAGGCAGTCAGCAGTCTCTCTAATTGACTTTGGGCAAGCCACGTA